GTACATACAGACTGCAAGCCTTTTCCCATTAGGCCCTGAAAAAAATCTGTCACATAATGTGGTCTCCTTGGTGGGTGAGTCTATGTGGAGAAGAGTATTCAGGAAACATAGGAGGCCCTAGATGCTGGCTGGCTTTGATGAAGATCTTTTTTCCAGAGTGTTTCACCTTTTTTGTGTTCAATTGCAGCAAAATGCCACTCAACACAGTGCGTATTCCTGGTTTTTTTTTTTTCTGCTGTGGTGGTTTCCTGTGGTACCACATGTACTGTGCCATTTGGTGAAAGACGTGGCCAATCCTGAGATGCCTGCTTTGTAAAAGGTGCACTTAATAAACATTTTTTCATGTATTGCTTTGCTTATTTCTCCCTTCCAATCTCAGTGGACACACCTGGTGGCCTACAGACTCCAGTTCGGTGTTAAGCTTCGGCGTGACCCATCTGATAATGATAAACACAAGGGCTAAGGCAGGAGTAGAGGGGGTCTGATCCTCTTCTTGGGAGTCCCAGGTGCATTCATTTGTCTGTTGAGAGACTCTATAAGATCCTGGAACAACCTCATGTGTCACAATTTAGGGGTCTAGATTGTCACTTCGAAGGGACCTTACCAAATATTTCTTAAGTGGGGATTTGGGGATGCCTACAGAATCACAAACGGATTGTTAAAAGGCAGATTCCCGGGTCTCATGACCGAGTCAGGCTCTTGAGTCTGGACCACGAGATCTGCATTTTGAACCAAAGCCTGCCACCATCCGCATGTAGCACATGAGAGGGCGCGGTGCATCCTCCACCCCGGGCCCGCTCTCACTGTACCCCCAACATGCTTTTTTGCATCCTGTTTCCACAAGAGGATACCTAGAGGAGTCAGACCTCACACACATGCACCTTGGTTATGTGGCTTTTTCTTCAGCTCTGTGAACTTTGCAGGTAACCAAGCACCAGCTGTAGTCTGCCCTTAGAGAAACACTGGACTTGAAAAGTTGGAGTCAGAGTCCAGAGAAGAGCAAATACCCAGATGCTGAAAATTGTTGTCTAATCCAAGATATCAAGTTTGAAACTGAGTTTGCTGGCTTCAAGGGATGTTGGAAAGGGAAAGCCCTTCAAAGAAGACATGAGCAATACTGGCCTTAATCCTTTCCAGCAGGAGGCCTGGGCCTTCTGAGCCCACTGGAGAATGTGGGAGATCTCAGAGCAGTGGGCTGGGACCACAGTGCTACACTGATCAGCCTGGCATCTTTAGGCTAGTCTGCTAACCTCCCTGGGCTATAAACTTCTCGTCTACATAAACAAGCCTTGAATGATGAGCTGTTCAGGGGTAATGTGTACTGATTTCTGCAACTTATTTAAAAGTATGGAGGTGAAATTATAAGTCATTAGAAGGGAGGTTGGACAGTGATGTGATAAAGCCCCAAGATAGCG